TGATAATCTGGTAAAAACACTTAAACCCACCTCGGCGGCCTCCTTCTCAAACTTCTCGATGGTTCTCTTGTCGATGCCTCCGCACTTGTAGATCAGGTGTCCGGTGGTGGTGGACTTGCCGGAGTCGACATGGCCGATGACCACGATGTTGATGTGGGTCTTTTCCTTTCCCATTTCGATTTACTGGTTATAAACGACATTTTGTGGATGTTATGTCGGTTTTTACAAATGCATATTTCAGGCATAAATGAGTTGTCTCCAAAATGGAGTGAGCCCGGCGGATGCCATTTTGGCTCTGTTGACGTGAGCTAACCAAAAGCTGGCCGTTATGTCTAATTATAACCACCTTGGGGATGTTTTGGTATTTTTAAACATGTTTCTGCAGAGCCGTGGTGAAGTAGGGATGACTGGGAGGAGGCTCTGATGCAAAATAAACCTAAAATGTACCTGTTGCTACATCAAACGTGTAATACGGCATATGGTTTGCTCCATGGTGTCACCACTGCGGCATTTAGCTACCGTTAGCTTAGCTGACCCTTCAGTGGTAGTCAAGCTGTAAAAGCCATACCCAGCATTAAAGTCGTGTGAAATGTAGCTGCGTAGAGTGTGCTAATGTATATTTTCACAGGGCTCGCTGACTAACTTCGGAATGACAACAGTCGGAAACTGTCGCCTCATTTTAAAGACGTTTCTGTGATTTGCAAAACTCTAGCTTGTCAATGCTCGTTCACGCTACCGGTGAGTCACGCGCCATGTGCTGGACGGACACCGGCTCCTCCATGTTGGAACGCAGAGCCGCCATGTTGTTAACTGATGCAAGCGCGTACCCGCAGCCAGCATTCGGGAGGAACTGCGCGCGTTCACGAAGCCAGAAAGGACTACCATGACTGGCAGAAACAACCTGGCAACTCCTATTTTTAAGAATCCGTATCCACTCCCATTAACTGGGTTTTAAAAACATCCAGCGGTATTAAGGCTAAGTAGGACAGAGCCGAATTAACCACAACAAGCTTATACAAAGTTTGGAAAACATCCTCAAGGTGAGCCAGCATGCTTTTACCTTTTACGTCCATTTAAAATAAAATGTAATAAATAGCCATGCTGCATCCATTAGCTGAGATTCCTAGTGCTGCTATGGCTCAGGCCAATATGAGCCAATTCAAAATCCCCCCCTGCATTGAACAGCAGCTCCTCTTTAAAAGCATGCACCGTTTGAGCTGAATTTAAAGGATGACATTTCACCAACCTGTGCCCAGCAACTACCAAGACGTCCCCTGATTTAGAGCGGAGGCAAAAAAGGACAGAGTGCGATCTGTCCAGAGTTTTTATACCGAACCACAGGAGAGGGAGGGTTGTGCATGCTCGTGTTGGTGTCACGCTAAAATAAGGGGTGCTATTGGCTGGTGTGGCATAACTCCTGTCGAGGCGATTGGACGACAAGTGCATCACCGGACATAGATAGCATGGTCAAAACCCCCCCCTCCCCAAAAAAACAGCTGCAACACAAGACAGAGGCTCGCCTGTGACAGCTAAAAGCTACACCAACTGCAACACTAAAGGATTTAGACGAGCCAATTTCAATTTTTTCAAAGACATTTATTTTATTAGTTACCAGCAGCTTTCTTTCCAATTAAATTTGTGGCATTTTAACATCGAGATACAGTTCTAAACCATTTCCAACTTAAACTTAACTGAGAAGAGGCACTGTCATGTGATTCAGGTAAGTGACAATGCCACAGAGTTCTTTTTCCTGCGAAAACTTTTGCGATGGGTTTTAATCAGCATAAGCCAGTCCTTGAGTAGAGAGCTGTGCCTCAGAGAAGATGATCCAGGGTGGGAGGAAGATAGAGAGG